CCAAAGTGCTAGAATTACAGGCATGAGCCACCATGCCTGGCCTAGCTTTTCTAATTTATCATTTTTCCTGAATTCACTGATTTGAAAAGCTTGAAAAAAAAGCCAAACAGAAAAGAGACTGTGACAAACACTGTCAGCCACAGTCCTCTTTATTCACTTTTTCAGTTCTATTCCCAACCCTCCCAGAGACAACCTTTTGCCATGAATTTCATGTTTATCCTTCCAGTGCAATGTAAATGTGTGTGTGTATATGAAAATGTATTGCTTAATGTATTTAACTTTTAGACAATGAATTATATATGTATGAGTAAATATATATACATATATGTACAGCAGCCATTTTTTCATTTATTTTTGTTTTCTAAACTCTATCCATGTTGATATATACAGATATAGGTCTCATTTTAGCTGTTTTATTTCACAGTATGAATATTTCAGTTTTCCCACAACCCCATTTGTGTTCTTTCTTTCTTTTTTTGCCATCACAGAATTCTAGTGAACAATCTTATTCATATCCCTTCTGATCATCATTATCTTCTTCCTTTTCCTTTTTCTCCTTTTCTCCTTCATCATCTTTTTTTGCTTCAGTGGTTTGATTTTGTCCTAAATATCTCATTTTTTGAGTTCTCCCTCTTGGTCTAACACTTTGGTACTTATAGTCACTTACAGCCGTTATTTGAGGGAGGGAGAGGGATCAGGGAAACTTCATAGTTTGAAATACTGGTCCTCCTTTATCAGAACATGAGACATTCTGAAGTTTTCTTTCCTTGTGGATTCTTTTTGGAATCTGGTAAATTTGGCAACTTTGCATTTTAATATTTTGCATTGTTATTGTCTCATAGCCAATAACTGTTTTTCATAAACTTTAGTAACTAACTCACCTTTTCTTCTCCTTCTAAGTTTTCTTTTACTACTTTTTAACTCCTAGAATAATTTCTACCCACTAAATGTGGGACTGTTTAGTGAACTCCATTCCAGTTCATGTAATTCTTGTGTTCAGCATGATCCAGACATAGCTGATATTTATAGAAGTTTCTTAAAGTATTCTTAGCTAAAGGAAGCATTTAAAAAATATGGCTTCACCTTGCTATTTGATTAGAATTATTACATATAAATTTTGTTAAAGGACTGTATGTTTCAATGACCAGTGGTTTTCATTTATAAATTTTTTTTCTGGAGTCTTTAATCCACTGTGCTTTTATTCAGTTTTGTGAGGTTGAGTATATTTTTAATTTCTATGCTCCATGTTTTTTCACCCTTTAAACCTGGATCCTATTCAGAGCTTTGAGCACTTGGAATCTTGAAGTGTTACAAATGAAAACTGTTACTCTTCTCTAATAACACACTTTGCTTGCAGCAAGTGTTTGAGTAGGACTTCCTTTCTTAACAACTAGTTTGGGCAGCCACTTGTCTCATGAATATATCAACTATTTTTAAGAATTTGAGAAGAATTTGTGTGCTGAGTATTTTTTTAAACAACCAATAAGACCTTAAAATGGAAACCAGAGTAATAAATATAACTAGAATATCAGATGTCTGTGTATTTTCTCTCAAATCTGTTCTTGCCTTAGGATTTGGTTCAGATCATAAGTATCGTGGCTAGAAAGTAACCTTTGCATCTAGACTTACTCTGATTTTAACATGGATGAAGTATTCTATCAAAAGTACTAGCACTGTATGTATGCTTAGAAATATTGGTCATGTCAGTCAGTTTTGTTTAGTGAATTATTTTCCTTATGTCATTGTAATCACTGTTTGAATGGAGTTGGTTACCTGCTCTTTGCATATCAACCCCACATTTTATGCTGTAGAGAAATGTTCCTATCTTACGTCTTTATTTAGAAGAAAATTATGCTCTTATACCGAACACTAACACCATGGAGTTTTGTTTTTCCTTCCACTCTGGAAACTCTACCATAAAACTTTTTTTAGCTCCTAAGTAAAAAAAAAAATTTTTTCTAACTATAGTCACCCTCTTGGGATATTTCATCTGGATACATAACAGAAGCCTGTGGGAGTCAAATTATAAAGAACTTTTTTCTTGAAATTATATTTTGTTTACATAATTCTTATAAAATACTTTTTTCTCACTATAAAAGTAAAATATGTTTATTTTTTACAAACTTAAAAAAAAAGTATAAGGGAAGCAAGCACTCAATTTTAATGCTACATATTGTCAAGTAATTCCCATAATAGTTATGCCATTTTATACCTGCACCAGGGTGCTTGTCTCTTTGTGCCCTCAATAGCCTTGTTATCATTAAAAACAGGTATCGCACATTTCTTAGGGGAAAATCTAATTATGTTTGTTTCAACTTTTTAAAAAGTTCTAACTGTGACTCAGTAAGAGCATAAACCTGAAACTTGTTAGTAAAATAAGCTGTTATTTTGACAGAGGGGAAACATTCTGTTTTTTGAGTGTGTATAGTTACTGTGTAATCTTTCACGAATGGAAATCCAAAAGAAAAGATTAACTCAGTCACTCATTATATAAGTATTTGTTTCTGGCCTTCCATGTGCCAGACACTGTCTGGGTGCAGCAACGAAACAGACAAGAACCTGCCTTCGTGGAGCTTGTTTTCCAGTTAGAGAAGACAGATTGTAAAAGATACAATGTGGTAGATGACATTATGTGGTATAGAAAAAAATAATGAGGCAGGAGTAGGATTGTGGCTGTGGGTGGAGGGGATTACATTTTTAAGGGTATCTGGGAAGGCTCACAGATACGATAATGTTTAAGGAAAGACCCAGCAATTGTGAGGGAGTGCACCCGAGAATATTTAGAGGAAGAGTTATCTATACAGAGAATAGGGAGTACAAAGTACTGAGGCAGGAATGGGCTTAACCTGTCTGAGGAACCACCAAAAGAAGGGTGGTATGGGTGGTACATAGTGATCTCAGGAGAATGTAGTTGGAGATGAGGCCAGAGAGGTAGTGGAGTCCGGATTGTGCAGGCATTTTTGGCCATTGTAAGGGTTTTACTCAGAGTGAAATGGAAAATTATTGGATATTCCTCAGAGGCCATAATTACACTACTAAAACAAAAAAATACTTGTGTCTTAGCTTTGCTTTTTCAGAAGCTTTTGTTTCTTATAATAATTTGGGTATTACTGATGGCTCCTACTGAGTAGTCATACATATATTTAAACATTTATGTTGGTACAGAATATTTCTCTGAAATACAGATCTTAGGTATTGCATTTAAATTCAAAGAAAGGGAGTATAATAGGAAATCCTGTCTCTAGGCATTCATTCCTGGGTGGCCCTGCTTTATTACTGAATTCTCATCCTGAAATTGTCTTTTTTAAAAAAAGGTATATTCTCTGCAGGACATATTGGAAGCTAGCTAGCTAGCTAGATATCTACTGTATGAGGTTATTTTAATAATGTATGTTTTGAACATTTTTATTATGAAGTATTACAGAAAAATACATAAAACATAACTCTGTAGTTTAAGGACTATTTATAAAAGTCAAATACCTAAGTAACCACCAGGTAGACCTAGAAACATGTCATTGTCAGCACCTAGAAGAACCCTGCTGTGTGTCCCTTCTAGACATAAGCCGTACTGTTGCTCAAAGTAACCACTGTTCTGACATATATGGTAATCATTTGCTTATCTTTATGATTTTACCATTTAAGATTCATTCCAAACCAATATAGTTTAGTTTTGTCTGCTTTAAAACTTTGTATAAATAGAATAATACAACATGTGATCTTTTGTGTCTTCTTTCAGAACCTAGCAATATGTTTATAATTTTCATCTTGTTGTTATATAGAAGTATACTTCATTTCCATTGCAGTATAGCATTATTTGAATGCCACAATTTATGTATCTATTCTATTGAGGGACACTTGGATTGTTTCTGATTTTTGGCTGTTATAAAGAGTGCTGCTATGAACATTCTTGTTTAACATGTGCTCATAGACATGCACAGGACTTTCTCTAGGCCATATATTTGGGAGTGTAATTGCTGAATCTTCAGTTTTATTAGATAATAACTATTTTCCAAAGTGGTGGTACCAGTTTGTTCTCCTACCAACAGTGTGATAGTGTCCCTGTTGCTCCCAGTCCTTACTAGTATTGTCAGACTCTTTTTTTTTTTTAATATAATTTTTTTTTTTAAGAGACAGGGTCTCGCTATGTTGCCCAGGCTGGAATGCAGTGGCTATTCACAGGCATGATCCCACTACTGATCAGCATGGGAATTTTGACCTGCTCCGTTTCTGACCTGGGCTGGTTCACCCCTCCTTAGGCAACCTGGTGGTCCCCCGCTCCTGGGAGGTCACCACATTGATGCTGAACTTAGTGTGGACACCCGATCGGCATAGCGCACTACAGCCCAGAACTCCTGGGCTCAAGCCATCCTCCCGTCTCAGCCTCCCGAGTAGCTGGGACTACAGGCGCGCGTCCGGCTGTCAGACTCTTTTTAATTTTGCCAGTCCATTGGGCCTGAAAATGTTAATTCTAGCAAATTAACTGAGGAACCAAAACCTTGAGCCTAAAAAAAAAAAGAAAAATTAGAGAGCAAAGGACTAAAGGTATTGATTTCTGCTTTAAGAATCACAGATGTAGGTATTCATTTTCATTTGTTAGATTTGGTTGGTATCTTCTGCCTTAGAGTAGTTACTTACAAAGTTCTAAAAGGCATTTATTTTTCTACTCTCAGAGGATGAGGAACCTTGTCTGTCACTTATTTCATTTTTGTTGCACTCATAGGCCAGTTCATTAGAAGAAATAGCTTGGATTTTTCTGACTTCCATTTTTAAGTATAATTTTTTGAGAGAGAATTAAGAAATAGAGCGTTCGGAGTTAGTGATGAGATATAAGAATGGTAATTTTGACTAGTAAATCCGTTTTACTAGTCATTTCTTTGCAAACGTATCACCTTTTTAAACCTTTTAAAACGTATTACCTTTTAAGAATAGCCAAAGTAAGTAAAGACTTTATAAAATTCTGAATCTAGTTATGTCTGATTCATCATCTCTATTTCCGACAGGGATTTCCTGTTAGACAAGACAAATTAGAGTTTTCCTACTGACTTGGTGAGTTTTTACATAGTTTTATTTTAAACATACATTAATCATGAGGGTAAAAAACAAAATGAAATGCATAAAAATATTTACCATGTCTTTAAAAAAATGCACATCTTGAGTGCAATCTGCTGTTGGATTTGGTGCAAATGGTAGGTAAAGTTGAAGCCATATAAAGTAAGCATGTAAGGTTTTCTTTTATAAGGGTCATTACAAACACTGTTAAGGAAACATTTTTCATAAATGGCTTAAAAAATTTTTATTCTAAATTTTCTTATCTGGAATAAACCAGAACTATTTATTTAGATCATCTCTGATGAATATATAGGTTTAGCCTTTATACTAAGGGAGGAGTAAATAAAAGATATTTGGATTTAAGTTTTTAATCAATGGCTGATAATACATGATATGGAGACCTTAGAGTAAGATTATTTTTTTCCCTAGAAAAGATTTTCAGGGAAATTAGAATTACAGCTTATAAAGAGAGATACCTTAAAGGAATTCATGGGCTTCATTTTACTCTATACAAGGAGTTTGATTTTGAGCAGATTGCCTTTGTATGTTGTACCTGAGAGCTCATCTCTTTGTGGGTAACTTAAAAAAAAAAAAAAACTTTCTACCATTTTGGCTAGCTTCTTAAAATTTTTACTTTGTGGTATGAAGTTTTTGTCTCAAATGCTTATGTATGCTTTTACAGAGTCTTCTTGGGTGAAATAGATATTATTGAATTTTAATCTTTTAAATTCTGACACAGATCATCAGGAGCCAGGAAATTCTGTTAAGACAGACATTCTATCTAACTTTCCCTTGTTTTGTCTGCCTGTGTGGTTTTACTTTTTCCTAGATTCATGAATTTTGGAATGAACACTTAAAACTAAGAACTTCCTGGCTATTCTTTGTTCCATATTTAGTTTACTTAGGACCTTAACATTGACATAGAATTTGGCTTATTTTTAATAACTTTAGAAGAGAGGGAATTTATTTTCTGCAGATGTCTTGTAGGTAAGGTACCTGGTCCATGTAAACAGTAGTCAGGTTTCTTTAGTTAAGACCATAAAGGAGAAGATTAAAAGCATACATAATACCCTGATCTCTCTTTTATAGTTGGAAGGAAGTTTAGGTGCCTTTCAGAAAGAAAAGCATCTCCAGGGAATACTGAATTCTGTACTGCTACATAGTAATTGTTAATGCTGTACACAATTGGTTGTCCTTGTAGTAGACCAAATCTGAAGCAGGTGAGCCTTTTCAGTTTCCAAGTTCATGACTTATTCCAAATTGTATGCCCTAAGACTAATTTAACTTTCTCCTTTGGCATTCATTCCTTGGGCCCTTTTCATAGCCAAATCATGTTAGCAAGAAATATTTTTAAATGGCTTGACTAAAGTATAGATGGCCAAAGAGAACTGCCTGTTGAATTTGGCTTCTATGAAGGCCAGAGGACCCTGTGGGGTTATGCAGCCGCTGCGTATTTGTTTCATGAAATGACTTGTCTTTTAATTCCTTGCAGATTGGACACACTTAGTATTAGGGCCAACCCTTTCATCTGTTTACTATTTTTTTTTTTTTTTTTTTTTTGAGACAGAGTCTCACTTTGTTGCCTAGGCTAGAGTGAGTGCCGTGGCATTAGCCTGGCTCACAGCAACCTCAATCTCCGGGGCTCAGCGATCCTACTGCCTCAGCCTCCTGAGTAGCTGGGACTACAGGCATGTGCCACCATGCCCGGCTAATTTTTTGTATACATATTTTTAGTTGGTCTTGCTATGTTGGCCAGGCTGGTCTCGAACTCCTGACCTCAGTGATCCGCCCGCCTCGGCCTCCCAAAGTGCTAGGATTACAGGCGTGAGCCACCACGCCCGGCCTGTTTAGACTTTATAGGGTTCTTTCTGGTCATAGTTGAGAGGAGAGGGTAAAAGACTATAATCTCTAAAATCTCAAAACAACTTCATGAATATTAACTGTAAAATAAATAGAATCTTCTTAACCATAGGGTTTTTCCCCTCCTCCTCTTTTTGATTCTTTTTCATCTTTCATTTAGAATAAGTAAATTTTCTCAACCTAGAGAAGAAATTTTTGTGATAACATGTGGGATGTGTTAAAATCATCATCTTTCCCAAGATCGCTCTTTGTGGCCCTAGAGATTTTTTCCCAAGCCATTCATTGGAATTAACACATGATTGTAATTTGTGAGAATGGAGAAGTCGCTGATTGCTTGCTTTTTCCTTTCTAACTTCATTTCTAAAGATATTTTCTTTTGGAACTGACACCCACTTTGAAGTGAAATAGCCCCTTTATAATCAGGTTTGTTTCCTGATTTGGATTCATGTCCTTACATTTCAGACATCTCCCAGGTGATGGATTTTGAAAGTGATGTGTGAAGAAGCTTAATCTGAGCTGCTGTGTGTGTGTGGGGGGGGTGGGGGTGTGTGGGTGGGTGTGGGTGTGTTTGGGTGGGTGTGGGTGTGTTTGGGTGTGTTTGTTTTTCTGTTTAAAAACCAGCTGGAGGCCGGGCGGTGGCTCACGCCCAGGCAGGCAGATAGCTCAAGATCAGGAGTTCGAAACCAGCTTGAGCAAGAGTGAGACCCTGTCTCTACTATAAATAGAAAAAAATTAATTGGCCAACTAATATATATAGAAAAAATTATCTGGGCATGGTGGTGCATGCCTGTAGTCCCAGCTACTCAGGAGGCTGAGGCAGGAGGATTGTTTGAGCCCAGGAGTTTGAGGTTGTTGTGAGCTAGGCTGACGCCACAGCACTCACTCTAGCCTGGGCAACAAAGCGAGACTCTGTCTCAAAAAAATAAAAATAAAATAAAATAAAATAAAAAGCAGCTGGAGGAGTTTTTCTTCCTAGCAGGGGTTTTGTAATTAATAACAGCAGCGCATCACCTGTGAAACCTGTGCTTGTGGCAGCCATGGTTTATTCCGCGGGATCCTCCATCCAGGTGGAGGCAGGAGTTTTTTCCTCTGTTGTTCTTATGTATATGTATTTGGCTCAGTAGTCTTCTGTGCCTAAATTAAAAAACAAAACAGAAGTTTAATAAGTCTTTTTAAGGTCTAAGGAGTTGCAGTCCTTTCCAGGACAAACCTCTGCATTTGGAGCAGAGATGCATTACATTTTCCCTGGACATATTTTTGGGGTAGAGAATAACTTTTACATAATGGATAGTTTTTAGGGAGAGGGAATGATCCCCCAGCCCATGACTTAAATTGGCAATACATTTTTTTGCTCTTTTGATTTTTTTGCTGACTGGAAAAGTTGCATCCAAAGTGAGAATTATTCCATATTTTAGCCTTTGAGCTGTCTGCTAAGGTCTCCTTGGGGACAAGGACAGTTTGTAGTTATTTATAACCTATAAGAAGGGCACTAAGGTTGTAAACAGCCAGCTCACACTGAGGCTTGGGAGTCAGTGGGAGCATTCTGTTGTTATCCTATTATGCTTAGTGACTTGAGAGTCTTTCATGTACCTTCTTGTTTATCTTCAGCTTGACTTTGGATGAGCCTTACTAGTGAGACATTTCTGTAAAACTCTTCCAACACTTAGATTGAGTAGAAGAAGAAAAAATAGCCTTTTTAAATACAAATGTTTTTCTAATCCTCCCAATCATTTCACAATCTATACTTGCCTAAGAAATATCTGTAAACGGGGGAAATCTTAAAGGTACTGACTTGCATGTATAATACTATACTTGTTTCTGAGTTTTTCTTATATACAGCAGTTATAAGAGCAACTCTTAATTAGAGAAATCAGAGAAATATCTGTGCTAGAAATGTGTTCTGTATCGTAACCTGGTATAGAAAAAACTTAGTTACATGCCTAGACATGTTTTTTTCCTCTTTTAAGACACAGGGTCCTGCTATCCAGGCTGGAGTGCAGTGGTGATGGGGTCTTGCTATGTTGGCCAGGCTGGTCTCGAACTCCTGGGTTCAAGTGGTCCTCCTGCCTTGGTCTCTCAAAATGCTGGGATTATAGGCATGAGCCACTATGCCCAGCCTAGGCATGTTTTTATGATGTGTTTACATATATACGTTTACGCTCATATGTATTTAATGTTAATTATCTTTATATGTCAATTTTAAGAGCATTAAACCCAGAGTCAGATATGAAAATTATAGGTCAAATCTAGGTAAATGCTAAAGATCTGCCTCAATTTGATCAATATATTGGAATTTTATAATATAAATTTTAATTTGAAATAACTTAGAGGTTTAGCCTTGGTTCCTGACAGCTGCTATAATGATACTTTCTATAACCAGGATTGACTTATTCTGGGAAATGTTCTTCTCTCGCTATTGTCTTGTGGATTCAGGAACTCCTCCCACAGCACTGCAGGTTTCCCTTTTCTTACAAGTTTTCTTGAATGAAAAAAAAAATGTTTTTAATCAAGGAAGAATGTAAATAGTTTTGGAATGTATCTAATAAGTTCTTTAAAATTAGAATGAGATGAACTCACAGTTTTATTTTATTTTATTTTATTTTTATTTTTTTTTATTTTTTAAGACATATAGACCTTGGAGAATGAACACAGTTTTATTTTTTAAATGTTTTATTATTTTAAAACTATGCCTGGATTCCTATAACTACATTCATTTAGCAACTCCTAAACTTTAACTTATTAACTAGAACTCATTAAGGAAAAATATCCCAAAAGAGAAAGGCTAGTTATTCAACAAAAATTTCATTCAACAAATATTTATTGAGTGCCTGTTATAATACCATTCTAGGCACAGGGGGATGCTGCTCTCTAATTGAGCTTAATTTCTAGTGGGGAACACTAGACAAGTGAAAAAATAAAAACAAGTTAATTGCAGGTAGTGGTTATAAAGAAGAAAATAAAATAATATGGTAAGAGGAACAGGCTAGAAGTGGAGGATGCTTCAGACTGGGTAGTCAGGGAAGACCTCCCTGAAGATACTGCATTTGAAAGGAGATCTAAAATAAGGAGCCAGATATGAAAAGACATGAAGGAAAAAAGAACTCTCCAGGCTGAGAAAGGAGCTTCATGTGCTCATG